TTCCTGGTGCGGGAGAGCCAGGGCAAGCAGGAGTACGTGCTCAGCGTGCTGTGGGACGGGCAGGTCCGGCACTTCATCATCCAGGCTGCCGACGTGAGTGACCACAGGCGGGGTGATGCAGTTGGGGTGGCCCTGGGCAGGCAGACAGGGGTCCCTGATGTGAGTACATGGGACGAGTGAGCACAGGACGAGTTGTGCCTGTCCTTGTGGGGTGTGAGCCCTGCATCGTGCATGCAAACTCCCACTCGTGTGTGCCCTGCCCACTATGCATGCATGTCCTGCGCCACATGCCCATGTGCATTGCAGCCCTTGCACCCCAGCCCTTGTGAGCAGACCCATGTGTGCAGGCACAACCGCTCAGCTTCCCCTCCCTGCAGAACATGTACCGGCTGGAGGGGGACGGGTTCCCCACCATCCCACTGCTCATCGAGCACCTCCTGCAGAGCCAGCAGCCTGTCACCCGCAAGAGCGGGATCATCCTGGCCAGAGCCATGCCCAAGGTGACAGCGGCCAGCGGGCAGGGATGTGGGGCTGGGGCAGGCTGGGGGACAGCTCACCGCCTTCAGTGTCTGCTCCCTGCAGGACAAATGGGTGCTCAACCATGAGGATGTGCTGCTGGGGGAGTGCATTGGTCGGGTGAGTCAGAGTGCTCTGGTCCTGCCTGAGCAGGGTCTGTGGGAGGACAGGGCTGTCCCCAGGGGGTCTGTGGGAGGACAGGGCTGTGCCCAGGGGGTCTGCAGGAGGACAGGAATTGCCTCTGGCCACTGGTAAGCTGGGCTGGTGCGCCTGTTTCTCTCATAGGGTAACTTTGGGGAGGTGTTCAGTGGCCGCCTGCGTGCTGACAACACCCCTGTCGCTGTGAAATCCTGCCGGGAAACCCTCCCAGCTGAACTTAAGGCCAAGTTCCTGCAGGAAGCCAGGTCCGTGCAGCCATCTCGCTTCTCCCAACCTGTCTGCTTGTCCATCCTTGGGACCTGGGGCTATTCAAACTGTGCTGGGACTGCAGCATTCTTATGCTGAGGATTGTGCCTGGGGCAGGCCGGCCCCCCCCCCCCCCCCCCCCCCGGGCGC